AGGAGAGACAGAGGGAGGGTAGAGAAGACATAGGAAGCAGGAGGAGGCAGCGATGAGAGGAAGAAGACGCGAAACTGAGGGAGAGGGGGAGACAGAGCAGGACAGGAGACAGAAGAAGCCACCAGGGGATACTGGAAGAGGAAAGAGATGCAAGAGGGAGACGGATGTCATTGAAACTAGGAGGAAAGGGGTGTCAGGGAAGGCAGAGGGGTGTGGGAGGAGGAAGGTGAGGAAAGGGAGGGAGGGGAGAGAGGGGCGAGGGGCTGCAGTGTGAGTGCGGATCTGAGTCTCCAGGGCTGTGGAGTTCATGGCGGCCCCATCCTGACTCCTGGGGCAGCACATGGGTCATCTGGAGTCGCAGCTCATTGAGAGCTTCCTGTTTTCAGCTTGTCTTTGTGAACCCTTGAAGGGGTTTCCAGCCAGTAAATAAAGCGGCGTGCCAAGGCTCCCTGCCCGGCCAGCAGCACTTCACCACCCCGCTGCAGTCCCCAGCGCCCTCTCACCCCTTGCCCTGCCCTTCTGGCCTGAGGACCACCCCAGAGCCCACTCAGGGCCCACCCACCCCGGCTCCAGACCAGGACTTTCTCTATCACCTCATGGGCAGGGCAAAAGTATCAAGGGCTGGTGTGGAAATGCCTTGCTTTGAGAGACTCAGGCCCACGTGTGTGTGCACGTGTGCCCATGTGCTCTGTCCTGAGACTGAGCAAGGAGGGACAGTGGGAACGGAGAGGCAGGGAAACTGGAGAGGGAGTCCAGAAACAATTCCGGAGACCTCAGCTCAGAGGGCTCTGGTTCCAAGGTCCAGCCTGGCCTGCGAGGAAGGCATCTCACCCCTGGTAGATTGTTCGGTATTTGCTTGAGTATCTCTGGTATCGGGGGGCTCACTCTTCCTTTTTAGGGAGTCTCTAATTTGTGCTACTGTATGTCACATCAAGAATGAATGTATGGCCCCATCGGGTCAGTCTTGGTCCTCTGCCTCGTGTCTTGGGCACCATCCACACCTCGTGTGCTGCCCTCAGCCACACGGTCAAAGATGATCCACATTCCAGCCCCCAGGAAGGGAAAGGGGAAGTGGAAGCCCCCGCTGACCTTCAATGGTACCATCCAGAAGTCCATACCCCTCTGCTGATCATACCCCTTTGACTAAAATGTGATTACATCGCTGTACAAAGATGCCAGGGAGAGGAGGAAGTATGAAGTGTATCCTGGATGGTCCTATCAGGGTGCATCATAAGTGTGGGAAAAGAGGAGAATGATGTCATGGACATCTAGATGTCTTTGAGGGTGGCCCTCCCCATGTGCTGTGCTGTCTAGGAAGCCAAGATGCAGAAGTTCTGAGTCTTTCCAAAGCCACCAGTGGCAGGATTGTGAATCAGACAACCAGACGAGCTCTCACTCCATTTTTTCATTTTGGTAACTCTGACTGCCTTCACCTGTCCCCAAATGCTGGCTGAGGATGAAATCTCAGGACCATCAAAGGGGCACCGGAGGAAAAGGAGATGATATAGTCTGTGAAGAAGTTGCCAGAAAGGAGGGGAGAGAACTGAGAAAGAATAGCGGCGTGGAAATCACCTCTAAAATGCCCTTGCAAGTGAACGTGCTGAAAGATTCATCACAACCTGTTTTGTTTAAGTGAATAAAGAAGTTTGACACAGAAAAAAAAAAAGAATAACGGTTTGGAAATATTTCCAAAAGTTCACCCATTCTGGGTGCCACCAATTGCCAAAGCCAGGGGAGGACCAGAGGACCTCTATGGGGTTCACCAGTGAGGAGGCCATGGTGACCTTCGTCAAACCAGTTTCAACAGAATGGTGGGGAGTAAAATCTGAAGAGAGTGGGTTTAGGGGTGAATGGAAAATGAGGCTGCAGAGTGGCAAGTAGCGGAGGTTCTGAGAAGCAGAAACATTCTGAGGAGAAGAGGGGATTCTTGACCGTGTGCATCCAAAGGATAAAGCCACCAATGGTGGCCATTTCTGTTCGTTATGGTGGAACAGGCATGCAGCTACACAAGAGACTGGAGATATCTACAGAAATATAATTTGGCTGCTTTAACAAAACCTAGATACAGTGACTTGAACAAGATCAAAATTCCTTTCTCTCATGCATAAAAGCTGAGCATACACAGTCAAGGGCTGATGAGGTGGGGATCCCATTACTTCCATCTTTCTACTTAGCCACCCTCATGGCCCAAGATGGCTGTCCCTGCTCACACCATCATGTCCACATCCCAGCCAGAGAAAGAAGGATGAAGGAAAGGACAGCTTCCCTTTATCATCAGGGTACCAACCAGAGGCTGCTGGCATCACGTCCACTCCATTTTCATTGGCCAGAACTTGGAGACTCAGCCACATCTACCTACAAGAGAGATCTCTAGGTGAGCAGATCGTGTGCTCAGTTGAGACTCAAGTGCCATCACCTCGTCAGGGTGGGGACAGCCGCAGTCAGAGCCGAGAAGACCTCGACCAAGGGAGGAGGCATGCCGCCGCCACTGCCGCTGGGAGGAAGATGTAGGACATCTGACTGAAGAGGGATGGAGAAAGGAACTCTTGCCTGGTCGCCTTTATTTTCTCTGCAAAGGGGGACTCAGAGTCATCACTCAGTCCAGAAGAGCGAAGGCTTGCCAAACCTCTCTCCCAGAGGCTGTTTCTGTCCGCTGTGGTCAAGCAGGCACACAGCCATGTGTACACACCCCCAGATGGCTCAAGGAAGGGCTGTGCTGCCGGGGTCCAGAGTATCATTCCCAGCTCTGGCTTGGCTACTTATGGCCTTGGCTGAGTCAAGAAGTCTCTGTTTCCATATCTATTCACTGACCCCAATGTCTGTCTGCTCACAATCCTGTTCTGCCCTCACAGAGGGCTGTGAAGATGCTTTGTAGGCCGGGCAGTTGGTGCAAAAGTGAATGGGCATTCCCGTGCCGTCACCTCGTCAAGGCAGGCAGGGGAAGCCTGGGGGGGGACTCAGGAGAACGTGAGAAGGAGGGAGGGACCCTGAAGACCAAGCCCACCCTCTCACCTGGACTGCCCGATGCCCGGTCTCTCCGAGGGGATCTGGGCTCTGCATCAGAACTGTTCTGCTATCGGGTTGGGGAGTCAGGGGACGAGGGAGCCACTTCTGAACAAGCAGAGCTCCCCAAGGCCAGCAGGAGGAAGCAGTCGGCCCAGCTGTCCACAGCCACTGGGGGTCAGCCTTTGTTGTCTTGAGATGGCTCTCGGGAAGCCTTGGTCTTGTCCCCTGTGCTTGGCCTTGGAGGCTCTCCTGGGACCTCTTCCCAAACCCAAGACAACACCTCGTCCTCCTGGCCTTGGCCCAGTAAACAGTGTGAGTTTCTCTTCTAGGCTTCTGGCCTAGCAGGGCTAGCCTGTCCATGTGCCTGTATGTGTGCACGTGCACATACACACACATGCACACACACACACACACACACATTTCATGTACACATAAGCACCAGGTACTACACATCACAAACACAGCACACATAGCCAGGCTCGGTGGCTCAGCCTGTCATCCCGCGCCTTTAGGAGGCTGAGGTGAGTGGAT